TGGGATTTGGGATTGGGATTATGGGATTTGGGTGGGATTTGGGATTGGGATTTGGGATTGGGATTATGGGATTTGGGTGGGATTTGGGATTGGGATTGGGATTGGGATTTGGGATTGAGATTGGGATGGGATGGGATGGGATGGGATTTTAAAAAAAAGGGTATGGGTATCAACTATATATATACCCCTTTATTACGTATAAGTATTTACTAGTAAGCAAGCTGAATGGGTAAGTTGAACATAAGCAACAAACCAAAAAATAACTTGTTTATTCAGGTTTACTTTAGTAAACGATCATACAGTATCATCATATAATAATAAAAAGCTAAAATATTTACATAAATCTTAACTAACCTGTGGTAAGATTCAAAAAATTTTTAATTGATAAAAAGAACTTTCCATAAATGTATTACTAACAGAACCCACAGCTCATTCTACAATTAATTTTAATTCTATCTGAAAAACCCAGCGGTTTTCTTTCATTTCAAGATAAATAACAGACATAGTGTTTATTTGATGTTTCTAAGCAGTCATCAAGAATTCATAAATCTTATTATACATTACAATAGTTATATTTATATAGTTAGTTTAGAATATAAAATAATATTAATATACTGAGATAACGCCAATAGCAAAATAAATGATAAAAAGCTAAAAATTACCTATACACCCTTTTAAATGCTACCATTTTCTCACATTTATACTTACATCTATATTGGGGAGAGATGGGAGAAATATGTAAGGCACTTTGCGCTAAAATTTTATGTTCATTAGTAAAAATATACAGAATGTGCATTGAAGATCTTAACATTTACAAAAGGTATTAGGATAATGCATATACGAATTTTTTTCACTTACCTGACATCTCAATAGTTAATATTAAGACCTAACAATATTATAGATATTATTCTACTTAGAATATTTCGTCCCTCTGGAGCAAATATATATATTAATAAATGTTATTTCGCTAAATTTTATTCTGCTAAATGTTGTAAGGAAAAAATTTGAAATATTTTGGAAGATCGGTTTATGTGTGAAATTATTTTGTCATATAAGCATAGTTTCACAGATGATTTGCAGAGTATCATTTATTATATCATATATACTAACGAGAATCAAAAAATGTGCTAATTTATGTCGCACACACTTATATGCATTATTTTATTAAGACAATATTTAAGATCTGAATCAAGGTTTGATCTGGAAAATTCAGCACACAAACTCACTATTATCATCCAAATCTGAGAAATTTACGGTAAGATTCTTTTCTAGAATATCATATTTTTTTAATAACTGTGAATCATATATATATTGTACTTTTGTCAATTTACCACTATATCTCTTACAATCCAAAATTTTGATGAAGTATTCAAAGTTATATTTTTTATTAATAGGATAATATTCAGATTTTGTGGCTATTTTAATATATCGATCCAATATGTACTTCTAATAAGTGTATATTTTTGCTAATATAATAATTTTCCAATAAGTATGTGTGATATTGTATTTAATCGTATCCATAATTAGGCTTTCTTCTCAAAAATCCATTCATTTTTCGCTGAAGGACAATATTTCTTGTATCAAATTTATCCTGAAAGATTTTATCCTTTGTTTTTCATACCTAAATATTTCTTATCGTCAGAAATACCATCATTTCTCACTATCTTCTAAACTCGTTTTGCCAAAGATTCAGATCTTTTCTTATAATTCCTATAAGCTTGCTGAATAAGTGTTATATAGAAATTTTCAAAGCCATAATTATTAGTATCCAGACGAGTTGAGTTAACTCACGAGTCAGATAAGCCGAGTTGAGTTCAAATCAAGTTGAGTTTATGTTTTTTTGACTCGATAATTTGCGAGTTAAGCCAAATTCAAGTTAAGTTAATATTTAACTTGACTTGATTTAAACTCAACTTGATTCGAGTTAACTCAAGTTGACTCAAGTTGACTTGAACGATAAAAAAATCATTCTAAGAAGAATGATAAGAAATCATTCAACTTAAACGATAAGGAATCGTTCGACTTAAATAATAAAAAAATCATTCAAGAAGAACGATAAGAAATTATTTAACTTAAACAATAAAAAAATTGTTCAAGAAGAATGTTAAAGAATCGTTCGACTTAAACAATAAAAAATCATTCAAGTCGAACGATAAAGAATCGTTTGACTTGAACTATAAAAAAATCGTTTAAGAAGAACGATGATCTGAATCATTCTTTTCATTTTTTTTTATTATTTTTTTTCAAAATTGAATCGAGTTAAGTCAAATTGAGTCGAGTTTAAAATTTATATAATTCGAATTAAATCAAATTGAAAGATTTTATAAAATAAATTTGACTCAATTTAACTCGAAAAAAAATGAGTCGAATAAAATTGGTCTTTAAACTTGATTCGATTCGACTCATTCAGAACTCTAATAATTATAGTAGTATTTAGGAATCAAGAATCCCCAAGATCACTTTATTGATCTTTCTGAACTTCTCGAAAAATACTTTATTAAAATAGATTAGAAGATCTAACCTAGAATAGGCAGATCATACATAGCGTCTGCATGTGATACATGAAATTATTACAGTTTCAGCTATAATTTCATTACATGTAGATTATATAATTGCAAAAAAAAATAATTTATAAATATAATTGAGATAAATAATATTATTATTCAGTCAAAAGTAATAGTCAGAATCAGTTAATTAAACTATCGTGATTTCTGTTCCATCTCCCAATCTCAACACAGTGCCTTTTGGGTGTTTTGCATATAGAGACAAGATAAATATTTTACTAGAGGTAGGTGAAATTATTTCTTAGTTATCAGGGGTAACAGGAGCACTTGCCATAGTATTTTTTACTATAGTTGCAGATTTGGCCTTGAAGTAAAAGTAATTCTAATGATTTTTCATCAAATCTTCAGACTCAACTTCATGGGCTTATCACCTCCAGCTACTATAATATTCCTTTCTAGACTCTACTTCAGTAATCTTTACCAATTTCTAGCATTTTAAACAAATAGCCATTTGACTTTTATGAATATTAAATCTATGATATTGGAAGTGATCTTCATATAATTCTACTTACCCAAATGAACTGAAAAGGCAGTACACATAGTATAAACTATATTTTTACTTAGAAAATAGTTCTTGTAAAAGAACCCTTATATGAACAGCCTATTGCTGAGATGTTTTATGAGGTCTAATAATGGATAAATGATCATATTGTTTTTTATTTCAATCACTTTTCATACTGATAGTTATCAGTTTGGGATCGATAGTTAAAAACATATTCCATATCATATTCGGGACAGAGATTGATAGGTTTAAGTATGGTTTTATTATAAATCTTATCTAATATGATCTTAACCATTGCATTGGGTATAATTAATAAATTAGTAATTTAGTGAATTATAGTAAATTGAAGCAAATGATAACAATTTATTAACTTATAGTGTTTTTATCGATTTTAGCTGATTTATCAATATTATACTCTAATAAATATCAAATTCATTTTATTCAGATTTTTTTTGATTCATTTTGCGGGTTACTTAGTATCCTAAATGTTTTTATTCATAATATATTGAGCTAAAATAAATTACATAATGCCCTGTGTCATATGATAATCGTGAAGACTCTTCACACTTCCAACCAATAGAAGCAGATCTACCGGCTAATTATATGATAATTTCAATAACGTATTTACTGCATATAAAAGAATTTTCCTGATATCAACTACGCAGTGCATGATCATCTCTCACATGACCGAACTATACTACGATTGCGAACTTGAGTTTATTGTTTGAACTGTTACAGATAAGATAATATTCTGTTCTATTTTTATACCATTCGTCATTTAATCTATAATTTCCATGTTTTTTATCGCAAATAGGGCATAATGAGTCCTATAGCTGAGCAAATATAAAATTATAATTATTAATCCTTCTAAAGTTATTTCAAAATTTCAGGTATGTGAAATGCTCTAACACAAATCTGATAATTAATTCTGGATCAGGTTTGGCTTTAAAAGTGATAGGATTGAAATCAGAGACTTAAGGTTTTTCTGATATACTTATCATAGCTACTAATAATTGCTATGACTCATGTCCAGTTTCTCTTTTATATTTTTTATATAAATTGGAATGAATCTTATCTGTCAAAATACTTGGTAAACCAGTTAATTTGGCATGCTAATTCAGATATTTGAGAGTTAATATTTTATTAGACTTAGCCATGTTACCTTTTTCTATAATTGCAAATCAATCTAATTAGGTAATAGTTAATAGGTATAAAAAATAATAATAAAGCAAATGTAGTCACAAAGTAACCTGACTATGCAACTATCTCAATTTTGCGCTATTCACATTTAATAAAATAGGATCCAGCTTTATATTTACCTTCTATACTTTCTTCATCATTATGATCTAACTTGCATAATGGGCATGATGTCTCATCAGTAATACCATAATAATCAAAATTTTCACTACTAAATTCTCTATATAAATTTAGATATTGATCTAATGTTTTGCTACGAAAATAGGATCAATCATAAGTTAGCTTAGATTGGGGTACTTTTAGAGGAATATATGTATTAGTCAGATTAATTTTTGAAGTCAGATGACTCTGATTGTGAAGAATCTTTATAGTTTCATTGTGTAAACTTGTCACTGAATTCACATGATCTATAATATTTTGTATTTGTGAGTAACTGAAGCTCGAAATAGCATCTGCACTATAAGAGACCTGTTTAATTTTCTCTATTCCTAATGTACTGAATAATTTATATAATTTTCTAGCTTTAAGGATTTTTTAGCGCAAATTCACATCTGTTATATCAAGTAAAAGCTATTTGACTTCTTGATATACCATAGATGTTGCAGTTTTTTTCTTAACTCCATCAGCAACAAAGTTATCAATCATTTTGTCATATTTCTCTATAAAATAGCACCAGTATAAAATTGCTTCTTGATCAACCTTAATGACTTTCCTAAACATGCAAGCTATATTTTGCATAGTATCTGATGAGCTCGAGTCCTGTTCTAAAATTTGATCTGATAAAAGAGTGTATGCAGGTGATGATAACTGTTACTTTAACTTCTGTTTCACAATTATATTTTTATTCAACTTGGCAATTATTTCATTATGCTGATCGGGTTTAAGTTTTTCCATATCACATGACTTCAATCATGAAGAATCTTCACAGTTTTCAAAATTACATGCTAATTTAGATGCATTAACTTGCGGTTGCTTTGATAAGACATAAGATGCTGATCTTATATTTTCAGAACTAGCCTCATAAGATTGTGATAAGTCTTACTTGTCTTGCTTTGAAGTTAACATGTCTGTGACCTCAGGAATTTTAGTTATATCCTGAAAAATTATGAGTGCCTTTTGATCTCTCTGCTTCTTTTCTCGCCCTCTCTCTCTAATCTTATTGCTAATACTTTTGTTATATACCTTATCCAGAAAATCAACCATTTTCTCATCGTTACCATCAAGGTCACTAGGTGCTCGTCCTACTTCATTATTGAGTTTGTCAATTACAGAATCAAATACATCAACAGTTAGTATCATCACCACTGGCATCACTTCTTCACTATTTTGTGTCTGACTAAATGACAACACCATCCCATCTACTGCTAAACTCTGTTCTAATAATGCAAGTTTAGTCTTAAGCTCTTCAACTTTAGACTTGAGTTCAGCATTCTCAGAATCACGTCTTACATTCTCTTTAATAATTTGCTTCAGCTTCATGTTCTCAGCCTCAACCTTAGCAAATATTAGTAACTTCCCTCTAAGTTCAGAAATTTCAGCATTCTCCTTCTTAAGCTCTACAATCTTAGCTAAGAGCTTAGCATTTAATTCTCTTAATGAATCAATGGATTGCATGTTCAATGATAATTTTTTATATGAGATGGAATAATTTAAAAGTTCATTAGCATAAATATAAATAAGACAATGCCTCATCAGAATTACACTACTTTATTAATACAGAAAATAAATTATATAATTTGAAGATACATAGACTTGTTTTACAAAGTAAAATGGCAGTTTTATACTAATAACTACAGACTACACCAGTGCTTTATTCATCTAAACTATCTGTACTAAAATAATATCCTAACATTAATTTTAATCCGATTTCATTTGTCCTCAAATTGATATTCTAGATAAAATAAATGGTTATCAGTTATATATAAAATATGTAGAATTAGAAATAAATTAAACAGTGTTGACCTCAGTAAAACTCACCAAAAAGTTTTATGATTTCCGCCTACTAAGGTTCTTAAAAGTTCTGAATAAAAAATAGGTATTAGCTCTGTAAGTTCTGAGTCACTTTCCCGCAAATGTGAAAAAATATATTTCATTTATATCTTAATTGCAAAATGACTCGTCTGTACTTCAATAATTTTTTCCTTCAAATTGCGATAGGCCAGTTTCTTTTTGAAGAGCACTACTGCGCTTGATTTATTTGTAGTAAAAAAAGCCACACTGATTAGTCAAATATGGTCAAATATCAAATCGTATAACTACTCATACGATGTAACATTAATTCAACTTTTTTAATAAATACTGAGAATTTGTCAGAATCAAATCTAATGAGTAATGATAAAACTGTATTAATCATTTTTTTCGCGAACTTATAAATTACTTTTTACTATGCTTATCAGGGTATCTATATTATTTATTATATTACGTAACAATAAGCCACAAAAAGTTTATCAAGAGTCTAGTCACAATGTCAAAAAAGTATATATACTCAAACTTTTTCAGATTTCTCAAAACTTTGTTAATACTTAAGTCTTCTGAAAAAAAATATATTTTATTACTTTACAGTATCGTATCCAAAATGGTAATGTCGATAAATTGTATACTCTTAGGAGATTATTCTTTAAGAGATACTTTTGCAATTAACGTTTATAAAATCAACCTTACTGATACTGCTTAAGTCAAATATGATAAACTAAAATTAATGACCTCAAGTATCTTATTTAGGACAAGAAAAAAGCTATGTTTTGAGACTTTGATTCTGACTGTATAAACCTTTGGAAGATTAATATCACTTTTAGTGATATAGTTAAGCTTAAAAATGTTACTTAAGAACAAATCAACAATAATTTTAGTAGCGAAGAGTTATTTCCTATCTGTTTTTTTACAGATTATTTTCAAAAAGTTGACAAGAAGAATATATACGTCATCATAGTAATTGCCACTGGTAAGTGTCTCCTAACATTTTACCTCTCAAACAAGAAATTTGTGGTAACAAAATATCAATTTAGTCTGACGCACGAATTTCTGTTATTTATTTAATATCAGATATTCCAGATTATTACCCACTAAAAAAGCGTCTTAAAATAATCAAAAGTATGTTATAACAATTTTAAGCACCTATCTTTTATGCTGAACACAATGCTAATCTTCACTTTCCAGCTCTCGAAGGGGAGAATGTGGAGGATGTGAAGAATGTAAAGACTATGACATAGAATGAACAATCAGATGGTAAGCTTTTCCTTACAAGCTTGTTAATTAATTACTATTATTTATTAATATATATTACATATATTATACATAAAGCAATCAAAAGTGCCTTAGATTAACCTCCCATAATAATTGACAATGGAGCCTATTCTCTAGGCGAATTAGAATTTAAAAAGTTTGTGACTTCAGGTACTTTCGTTGATAAATCTCTCTTTATAATAGAGTTTATGATCTATAAACAACAGGCCAATCTGATTACTCGCTCTCGTCAGTTCAAAAAATTAACCAATCTTTTGATGCTTGAAACTTTTCTTTCAACGGATTATCCTTCATTAAATTATATATCAGATGTAAAAACATCGTTGTTTGGGAAATTAAAAGTTGCTAAATTCAAATGGTTTGCTAAGTTGTACTATAAATAGTGACCTGTAATTCACATTAGCTTTAAGGTAAGTAAGCCTGGTATAATCTACTATTACATAAATAACTAACAAGACTTACTTTTACTAGAATCTTTGCAGTAAATCCTGGGAAATAATGCAAGAAAACATAAAGGAAAGAATTTCAGTTCTATACGAAGAACATAAATATCTTATTGACTCTTTCTTTCTTCCAGAGGATATGAAAGATAATTTTATGAAAGTACTCAGAAAAAAAATAAAAGATAATGCATCTTGGACATATGCTCTTTCTAATTTAGCACGTTATCTTAACAAGTGCTTTAAAAAGAGTTCCATTATTCTAATCGATGAATACGATTGGCCTATGGAAAATGCAAGAGGATTTTATGATAATATTCACAATTTTTTTAAAACGATGTACTCAAGTATAGCTAAGGTAAGCATATGTATTATAATTAACTGATTGTATACATGCTTGTTAAAACTATAAAATTTCTATGCAGAAAAATAAGTATGTGCATAAGATCCTATTTATTGGAACTCTTCCACTAGGACAATCAAGCTTTCTTTTCAGATTAAACAATGTAGTGGCCTATCCAATGCATGAAAAACCAAACCATTCTGGCCATACTATTTTCTCTGATACATTTGGATTTACTGAAAAAGGAAATTAATTCTTTGCTAGAAAGAAAAAATCAAATTGAAAAACTTGATGAACTACGTCTATATTATAATAGATACTAAACGAGAAAATGTACACATTTACAATCTACATTCAGTAATATCATATCTAAAGAAAAATGAAATTGATAATTATTAGACCAATAACAGTTCTTTAATCACACTTGTAGAACATCTAAAAAGTGTGGGTTAGGAGTTAAAGATCAGCTCCATAATATTATCTATTCCTATTCCTTCAAGTCTATAGGTCAAGATGAGTCTGTAATAGGTCTAAATGTGATACAGTAGTAGTCATAAGTATCCGACCGCCTCTAACTCCGGCTACAAGTAAGTAAATTCAAAATTTTTTTTTTATTTAAAAAATAC